AAACAAAAGATTCAAATGAAGGTCAAACTACGAATCGGTTGAAAACACCATAATCAACAACATACCTAATAAAGCCTGGAAGAGACGGCTCTTGAAGATAGAAATCACTCGTTCTATCGCGTCTCGCAGCTGACGATCTTCCGCCCGGACAAGACTTTTGTGGTACTCTTCAAGCAATTCCAATGCTCGATGCGCTTCTGAAGCAAAATATTACTTGAAAGATGAAAACCACTTTATGATACAACGAAAAACTTCCTACTGCTACACTTGGCAAATGACGCTTACAGAACCAACGGTGACCGTTTATCGCGGTCCGCCATAACAACTAACGAGAGAACTTTGTGAGAAATGCTGCAAAACGGAGATTCAGAGGGCTCTCAATACAAACAATATGCCGATCTTTGAAAAAGAAAGCAATTCTCAGACGAACCTCGTTTTGAAAAATACAAACAATCGCCGGGAAAACGGCTGCAAGACATTGCGACATGACGCTTAATGAAACTGTGGCGGATCGCCTACGCTGTTACGAATACAGACTGTATGTGACAAGGACAAGCGCAATGTCAACAAACTAACAAAACCGAGTAAATGTAGTTCCCTTTACTCGGGAACTCAAACCTCAAACGAAGTACGAATCACAATACGGAGAACAAAAAAGAAGTTAAAAAAGAATTTACCTTGTTTCTTCACAGGCATTATCACCTAGTTAAGCTGAATCAACATAAATTAATCGTAAAACTCGAAGAAACCAAAGAATTTTGAATCAATGCAAGCTGAGGCAAAGTGAACACAACTTCTTAAGCTGAGCACAACTTCGCCGCCAATTTAGCGCACAAGAATTTTCGCTTGGATTAATACAGTGCAATTACTGATCTGCAGTAACATTTAGTCATCCATTCGGTCTGCTGTATGTATGCCAACTATTCGACACGAAATTGCATGGGAAAATGTCCCAAATGAAGTCAAGTTTGGTACTAAAACCATTATATTGGACGACGGTATTTCAATGGCAAATTCAGCGTTTCTTAAATAATGATTAAAACTGAATATTTAATTTCAGAAATTGCCAGATTAGTTAAAAATTTTATTTCCGTCAAAATCATCATGTTTGGCATAAATCGGCGAGTCAGTCATTCAATCAGTTTTGACCATCGTTTATCTTTTCGCCTCATAGACGTAGATGTGTTAGATAAATCCTCCAATTTTTTTGTCCCTGTGCCAGCGTTTGCGCTATAGCAGGGCATAATCTGAGTTACGAACTGAGTCCATTCATACACTTGCGACATGTTATTTCTGGCCATCTCCTTGTTCTTCGACTCGATTGGCTGCGAAAATAGTGTTTCTTTTGCCTTCCAATTTGAAATCATTCGTCTTGCCTGCTCATACCATCGCAGCTGTGACCTCTCAGGCAGGAGAAGCAGCGACTTCACAAAGGGCCCCATCGGACGTCCGTACTCCGAATCATGCGATTCGTCTCAGAAAACCCATTTCAGCAGTTTGTTCTTTTCAATCACGACCCACGGCATATGACCGTAGGTGAATATCGGGACGAATTTCATCTCCGATAGCTTCCTCTTCGGACTTATGAAAGCTTTAGTCATAATAGTTCGGGATATTTCACCTCGGATGCCGTTGGTTATTTCATTGCTTGATGATTTCTTCCTTTCATTTTCCATCACCAGTAACCACGATTTTAGAATGCATAAATTAGTGCTTCTGTTTCATGACTTTTCTACTTAACCGCTCAGCGCCATGAACAGGAGAACCAAATAATAATAGGTTCTTCATTTTGAACAAGTTCATAAGCATGCTGTCCTAGTCGCACTCGGCAACGAATCTTTCCAAAGAGCGCTAGAGATGAGTTTTAGAACAAGGTTGTCTGCAAGCAGAAATAATCATATCTCCACCTTACCTCCATTAATACCCTCCTCGCCCAAATAATCTATCCATGAACAACACAAACAGGACTACAGACAGAATGCAGTCTTGGCGATGACCATTGCCAACAACGAGAGATCTCGACCTAACGCTATTTACTCTGACACAGCACCTGGTTATCGGTCCCGTTTGCTTGTAGCTACGCATACAGCTTGTTGCGTTCGATCCGGTCATGGGGATTTTCAAAGTGACACCCGACGAGCGAGCTCGCACAATTTTTCAACAATCTGGCGTAAGGCTAAATCACGGTCAGAGGTTTTTCGGTCTGACCTGAAGCCCCACTGTTCTTCTTTTATCTCAGAGTCAGTTGTTTCGCGGAACCTTTATTCTAACATTTTTCATGGACTCCTCCCCTGAAGACTCAATAAACTAATGCCTTGACAATTAGCGAACTTTCAGTTTCGATTCCTTAAGTGAGATATTAAAATCCCGTTCTCCAGTCCGCTGGTGTTTTTTCTGCAGCCATTGCAGTTTGACAGGCACATTTTAGCCGCAACATGCTTTGTTCGCCCAATGCATTGAACGTTTAAGAACGAATTTCATGGACTTCAGCAGCATTTTAAATTTCAAGCTTTTTACAGACTTTGTGACTTAATGTAGTGAAAAATTGATATCCATTTCCATCAGGCGACTGTCCCTGTGGATGCCTCGGGGTTAAGGATTTCTGTGAAGTATCTCCGCATTCTTGTAAAGAAGGTGTTGGGACTTGCCACTGAGAACATTTAGAAACCGCTTCTTTCTATCATGTAAGTAGTGGATGGCCTGCCGGAATAGATTATTTGTTGTCTGGAAATGCGATTCCAACACCGCACCAAAATTTTCCTAGGAATCGGCTTTCGCCTTTACCGCTGCCTTGCACATTTCTTCAAACTGTATTCAAGTTGAACGCTCTTTGCTTCCACTGTTCATGAATGCAGCTCTCTTCTCGGTGACAGCCAGTTAAACCTCCGGAATCCACAGGAAGTTCGTTTCTGACCTTCAGACGGCAGACCAGCCCATTTTAAGCCACAGCACTTGGCAGCAGCCCCCTAATGAACAGCTACTATTCAGTTTCCACATCAGCGGTCATCAGTAAAATCTGTTCACACCGTGGGCCATTGTCATTGTATTCGCAAAAGAAAATGTTTCCATTTGATTCTCTGGCTGCTTCGGCCGTCAGGT